GGTCAGATATTACTTAGTTTTATTATGGTGACTGGGAATTTAGCAGTGGTGACTCTATTTTGCATCTTCAGGCCTACTCTAGGAGCTTAGTCCACAACTATTATCCCATAAATCTTGTAGGCTTTGTTCATTTTTTAAAGTTTTTTTTTTTTTTTTTTTTTTTTGTCTTCCTGGGTTATTTCAAAATAGCTGTCTTCAAGATCAAAAATTCTTTCTTCTGTATTATCTAGCCTGTTGTTGAGAATCTCAGATATTTTTTTATTTTTTTTTAAATTTTTTTTTTTTTTTTTTTTTTTTGTCTTCCTGGGTTATTTCAAAATAGCTGTCTTCAAGATCAAAAATTCTTTCTTCTGTATTATCTAGCCTGTTGTTGAGAATCTCAGATATTTTTTTATTTCATTCTATGATTTCTTTAATTCCAATCTGCTTTTTAAATTATATCTATCTCTTTGTTAAATTTCTCATTCACATCATGAATTTTCTGATTTCCTTGAACTGTTTGTCTGTATTCTCTTGCATCTCTGTGAGTTTCCTTAACATTATTAACTTGAATTCCTTTTCTGGCAAATTGGCAACTTTGGGATCAGTCATTGGAGGATTATTATGTCTATTTGGTGGTGTCACATTTTTTTGTTTTTTCATGTTTCTTGTTTCCCCATGTTGACATCTGTGCATCTGGTGGAACAGTTGCCTCTTTGAATTTTGCAGAGTGGCTTGTGTGGGGAACGACTTTCACGTGCAAATGTGTCTTTGGGTGTCTATTGGGTAGAGTATGATGGCTTTGTTCTGGATGGGTGCAATAGTGTAGATTCTGTGTAGTTTCTTCAGCTGTAATCCACTTTTTCTATGTCTGCATATGCCTCAGTGGCCTATGCTTGGGAGCTTTATGGCGATGGTGTCACAGCTTTGCCAAGGGTGGGCTTGCTGTGTTGGTTCTCAGGCTGTTGGTATGCTTGCTCTCCCTGTGGGTCAGTCATCTTAGGTGCTGGCTTACTGACAATGGGATTGCTAGGTTGATGCTCAGGCTGGAAGTGTGGGCATGTGGCATGTCAGGGATTCAGGGCCGGCTCAACATTGGCAGGGTCACTGTGCTGATTTTCTGACTGGGTGAAGGCCCCCCAGGGGCACATCAGCCAGTCTGTCTCTCACTCAGAAGGGTATGGGTGCAATGGCTCAAAGACTCAGGGGTGGGCTCACCAAAGGCCTGACAGTTGGGCTTTTCTCTGAGGTGGGGGTGAAGGCATGCTTTAGCTCAGCTGGCTGGGTGTGGGTCTGCTGGGAGCTGGTCCACTGTGCCACTTATTGGGGCCAGGTGTGAGGTAGTGCTTTCCTTGGAGGTGCAGGAGCAGGCCTGCCAGGGGTGGGAATGCTGAACCACTTCTCGGGTGGTGGGCAAGGCCGCTAGGTGGGACTGTTGAGGGCAAGACCAGTTGGCTGCTTCTCTGGGAGTGTATGGATGCACCTTAGTTCCACTGGCCCGGGGGGTATGTTTGTTAGGGTAGGGACCCAGGCCTGAGCTGTTTTTCTGAGTTGGGAGCTTGGATGCACAAAACTCAGACCACTGGTGGGAGGTAAGGAGGATCTGTCTGATCTCTGGCTGGGTATATGGGGGTGCATCAGTTCATCAGGACTGGGATTGACTTATTAGAAGTACAGGACTGGGGTCACAGCTGCTTCTGCGCCTTGGCTTCAGAAGACACAAGGGATCAATCAACTGACTAGTATTTATTAAGAACTTACTTTATTCTAAATATGATACTTAGGAAAGATTATAAAAGCTAGCAGAGTTCCAGACAGTACCATGTGAGACTTAACTGCATTCTTATTGAAAAGCTTATTGAATCTCTGCACTGAGATTCAAAACCACTGATTCCAATCACTCAAAGGTAAATTCCCTTCAACACCACCCTGGGTATGCCCTGTATGCTTGATTATCTCCAGTGACAGAGAACTCAGTATCTTCTGACAAGCTGCACCTTCCAATTTTTGATATTACTTAATTGCTAGACAAGACAGATTTCTTAATAGCTTTAAATTTTTTAAATTGGCAAAAAAAAACTGCATATATTTATACAGTACAACATGATTTTTTTTAAATTTATTTTATTTATTGAAGCAAAATAGATTATACCTATTTTGGGGGTTAAACATTGAGATATGTTGATTAAATCAATATTACTAGCATATATAGTTACAAACTGTAATTATTCTTTATGCCCCTTGTCCAATCTCTTCCCTTCCCCCACTCTCTCCTCCTCCCCCCTCTAATTACCCTAGATTTCTTCTCTCCTTCTGGAAGAATAATGGTTACTCTGTTAATTTGTTGCTTAGATGATCTGTCCAATGCTGAGAGATGTGATTAGGTCCCCCAATATTATCATAGAGCAGATGCTGCTTCTGTCACTCTGAAATGGGTTTTGTGGAAAAAAACATCCTCTTCTTTTCCTCATCTCTGCTGGTGACTCTTCTTGTGTGAATGCACTCCAGTGGTTGGCAGACCATCTGCATGGTGGTTGTGGTGTCTAGCCGCTTTTGCGGCAGCCACGGTTATTGTGGTGGCTGTGGTGGGCCACCCATGTGGAGGTACTGTTTTTGGTATGCTCCTTGGCACTGGAGGTATGCCTGGTTGTGGGGTGTGTTTGGTCCCCTTCTCCATGCCTCTGGTCCCTGGGCAGGCCCCGAGGTGCTGGCACGGTGTGCCTGGTTGTGGGATGAGGGTCCAGTGTCTGGCTCCATACCTCAGGTCACTGGGTGGGACCCAAGGCACTGGCTTGGTGTGCCTGGTTGTGGGAGAGGGGTCAAGTCCCCTTCTCCGTGCCTCAGGTCTCCAGGCTGGCTCCGAGGCACTGGCAGTTTGCCTGGAAGTGGGAGTGGGGTCCGCTTCCAGATCCAAGCCTCTGGTTCCCAGGCAGGCCCAAGGTGCTGGTGGTGTACCTGGGCCGAAACTAATGTTTTGTCCTTTGTTTCTAACATACGGGAACTTCCTGTGGGAACCAGTACTTGAGCTGTGTGGTTGTTTAAATTGCTGCTTTGCTGCTGTTTCCCTAGGGAAGGCTTTTTGTGCAGCTCAGGGTTTAATGGTTGATCTTATATGTACTTTCGGCTCTCCAGAAACCCAGTGGATCTGTGTTCTGTAGAATCTCTGATCTGGGCCTGAGTTTTTTCATCGAACTGCACCCCATGCAATTCTGCATTCCTGACCATTCTCCTCTGAGTGGTCATGTGCTGACTGGGGTGCAGGTCGGCTGTCTTTGCTGTGTCCCAGTGTTCCCCCGGTGTTCCCATCTCACCCACCACCCATGCTCCAAACACTTCCCATGGGATGGGCCCTGCGCTGGTCCCTTGCGATGACTCACCAGCCTCTGAATGGCTCCCTTTTTTCAGTTGTTCTGGGTCCTCGCTCCTGCATGGGTCCATGGGAACCCTATTAATGGTCTTGCTGTCCTGGGGGCAAAGGCCCTCTTCTCCCCTGCTGCCTCCAAGTAACTCCATCTGAAGGGCACAGCTGTGGCTTCTGCTGGCCGGCTCCTGCTCAATGCGCTCATCAGCTCGAGCCTTAAAGCAGCCGTGGCCTGAAATGCTCAGAGCAGCTTTTTCTTTCTCTCATCGTAGTTTCTCCCACCTTCATGAGCTCGGAAGATCTCTCCTCCTCTTCCCCTGAGCTCCAGTGGCCCCAGCTTGGCCGATGTTACATTTTTATAGTTGAAAATTTGGTTCATTTGTGGGAGAGAGTGACGCTGGGAACTGTCTATTCCGCCATCTTGATCAGAACTCCACAAAATGATGTTTTGATATATATACATATGTTGTGGAATGGCTAAAAGAAGCTAATTAATATATCCATTACCTCACATACTTATCATTTTTTTGTGGTGAGAACATTTAAAATCTACTCTCTTAGCAATTTTCAAATATACAAGGGGTCTTCAAAAAGTTCATGGAAAGATTTGTATTATCTCTTAATTCCATTTTTCCACAAACTTTTTGGAGTATGTCTTAGTTTGTTTTCTGTTCCTGTAACTGAATAGCACAGACTGGGTGATTTATAAAGAAAAATTTATTTCTAACAATTCTGGAGGCTGGCAAGTCCAAGATCGAGAGGCCTCATCTCTTGAGGGCCTTCTTTCTGCATCATAACATGGTGGAAGGTCAAGGAAGCATGTGAGACAGAGAGAGAAAATCTGGCTGAACTCTTATCAGGACAGAGCTTTTATCAGGAGCCCACTCCCACGTAATGGCATTAATCCATTTGTGAGGGTGGAGCTCTAATGACCTAATTGCCTCTTAAAGGCCCTACTTCCCAATACTGTTACACTGGCAATTAAATGTCAACATGAGTTTTGTTGGGGTCAAACCACAGCAAAATACATTGTTATTAACAATAGTCACCATGTTGTACAATAGATCTCCTGAGCTTTTTCCTCCTAACTGGAAAAAAAAAAAAAAACTATGAAATGCCTCATGAATTTGCATGTCATTTTTGCACAGGGGCCAAGCTAAAATTGTTCCAATTTTAGTATACATGCCACCAAAGTACGCACTAGTTAACATTTATGGAATGCTTAGGTTTACTATGTGTCAAGCACTAACTAATGTACTATACTGCTTCTCAAATACACTGTATATAACATTTTATAGATAGCTAGATAATCTATTTTGTGCTATAAGCCATATCAGGTATGTATATCATTTCATATAATCCACACAACTATTCTTTGATATGGGTATTATCACCATTTTACCCAAAGAAATAGGAATTTGAATATTACTAAGCTGTTAACTTGGTGTGAATATCTTCCATTATAAAGAGATTTTTTACAATGAGATGGGATGTGTTTTTTTCTCTTTTTCTCTTTTTTTTGGTGGGGTGTGCAATGAGATATTTCAGGGACTAAAATGTATACTAAGTGCTATGGGTAAGATGGCTCTACGTATACAACGTTTGAATAAAGACCAAGGAATAGACAAGAAAAAACCTTTGACCTTGGAATTTCTTGCAGGCATTCTGTAAAAGCTCACTGATCTTGGAATACTTGGATGTCTCTTACTGCCCCCAGCTGTCAGATGAGGTTATTAAAGCACTGGCCATTTACTGCACTAATCTCACATCGCTCAGCATTGCTGGCTGTCCAAAGGTATGTGCAGGAGTCAGAGCGCAGACATGTCAAACTGAAGCACTGCCAAAGAACCCAGGGAGGACAACAGTCGGGGCTGGACTCATTATAGAACTTGTTGTTTTTGTTGTTGTTTTGGCTATATCTGAAGTATTCATTAGACATTTTTCTATCCCCAAGGTTGAAATAAGTTTTTGATTTCAAAGTAGAAGTTTCAAAAAGTTGAAAACACAATTCTCATACAAATATAAACATGTGTCAAAGATTTATTCAATTCATAGTGAAAGAACCAGCTAAATGACAAAGCCAGTGTGTGGAACATTTCAATGAACTTAGTATTTATAGGAATTGAAGGAAGAATGTTAGATTATAATTGTTAGGTTAGATCTAAAACTGGTTAATATCCTACAAGGCATAAAACCATAACCTTGGGATTAGAGTTTCTACCAGGTAGAAATAATTTGTCTCTCTCCTAGACAAAAATATAATAAGTTAACTTGTAATTTCACTGAGTTGAGACCTTAATCAATAGTAAATAGTATGTCAAAGAAAAGCATAATTCCCTATAGAATTTCCCAAATTGACCTGTTAAATGATGTTCCAGTAAGACATTGAAGGGATATATAATCATCTTTTGTCTTATTTTCAAGTTTTTGATAATTTTTCTCAGCATCTATGTATAAAAGAAATACTCATAAAAAAATTGGACTACATATAAAAGCTTAAAGGAGAAACTAAAAATCCACTGTCATATCACCACCCTGATATAACCATTGTTGGCATTTTTTACTTATTCTTCCAGAATTTTTTCCAAGTACAAAGAGATTAAAAATAGTTATAGAAGTTTTATGTTTTGCCATGTTTTTTAAAAGAATAGAATTCTACTTTCCTAAATACATTGTAACCTACTTTCTTTTTGCTTAATATGCTATGGACATATCTCCATGTCAAGAAATAGAGATCTTGGGTTCTGGGTTAATATGGCAGATTGAATATATATATACACATACAATTTTGTTCCTCTTGAAACCCTACCAAAACTGCAGATGAAAAGTGACGGCCCATGTGCATACAGAAAACAGGAGAGGAGGCAAGAGAAATAAAACTTTAGAAGCTTGAAAACAGATGGATTAATTTAGTAGACCAGAAACAGCTTTGAATCCTAAACCAACAGTAGAGAAAGCTGAAAAAAAAAATTTGATTTACACCACAATCTTCAAACTTGGCAGCACCATGTACCTCTGGAACTGGGTTAAAAAGGAGGCTAAAATAAGGAGGACTCCGTTTAAGATTCTTGAGAATCAGACAGATCCCTAGATCCCCTCTCCTGCTCCATACGTCTGGGCAACTGCCCCTCCCTACCCCAAACAGAAGCCTGGAGATTTATTTCCTAAATAATAAATAATAATGTCAGGTTTCTCAGCCCTGACATTATTGATATTTTGGACAAGATAATTCTTTGTAGCAGGAGGTTGTCCTGTACACTGTAGGATATTTAATACCATCCCTGCCCACCACTCACCAGATGTCAGTAACATCTAACTCCCCAAACCTACAGTCCTGACAATCAAAAGCATCTCCAGACATTGCCAAATGTCTCTTGAGGGGCAAAATGTCTCCTGATAGAAACCCACTACTCTAGATATAGTAAAACAGAGGGTTGCTGGGCTGGGAGACAACATGTATAATTGAGAGTGTAGATGTAAAAGTGAAAAGGGGAATGAAGTGACTGGATGCTGAGTGCAGACATTCAAACGCTTTTTCCAACTCAACATCCCAAACTTGGCTGCCAGGATCTTCTCCTCTAGGCGGGAGACTGGAAGCCTCTACCCTGCAGACCCTGACTGGCTCAAGATGAAAGACCTAAAAATACTGACATTGGGAGTTTTTCCAACAAATAACTCACCTAGGCCGTCCTTCATTGAAGCTTACAATAGAGAAGCCCCACACCATGCACTCATACCTTTTTAGTCCTCCGCTATTAATCATGAGCCAGACAGTCAAGGATTATAAGACATAAGAGGAAAACCTCTAAAATGGAAGATAAAGACCAAAACAAATTAATAGAAAAAGTTTGGCATTAGCAAAATATGAAGAAGGAAGAAAAATTTTAAATCTTAAAAAAATCCTGAAGAATTGCAAAGTTATTAACCTTGTTCTCTTCTGTTGTGCACACTGATGGTCTTTTAGGTACTGCAGCATCACCCCAACTCTCAAAAAGCCCTGACCTCTATGTAGTCTAGACACTCAGCTTCTATGTTGTTAAGTTTGTGTTGTGAGTGGATTAAGAGAGTGATGCTAAAACCTCCTGAGTCTTCCACAGCTAATTGTGCTGCAATAAAGAGGAGGAGGCAGTAGGGGAAAAGATATGGTAAACTATGACAAATTAAGCCAGAAAGTTCACAGCAAAATTATTTTTTATTACTAATGTATCTGTTTAGAATGAGGGAAACCAGCAGCATTACATGGTACTAGAGGAGAGCTGGGTCAAGGAATCCAGCACACTAGCAGCACTGATTCACTGACTCCCTGCAGCTTGAACAGTAACAGATCGCAAGGGTTCTTGCTTTCATAGCACAGGGACACATGGGCAACACATGGCTCGTGGCTCACTGGGAACTGCTCTGGCTGTAAAGCAGGCACAGATGGAGACTGGGCTTTTTAGTGGCTCTAAAAGGAAGAAAGTAGGAGAATGAAAAAAGGAAAACGGCTCCAGTGAGAACAAAAAAATAGGGCAGAGGATTTTTGTTTTGTTTTGTTTTGCTTTGATTTTTTTTTTTTTTTTTTTTTGATTTTTTTTTTTTTTTTTTTTTCTTTTTTTTTTTTTTTTTTTTTCTTTTTTTTTTTTTTTTTTTTTCTTTTTTTTTTTTTTTTTTTTTCTTTTTTTTTTTTTTTTTTTTTCTTTTTTTTTTTTTTTTTTTTTCTTTTTTTTTTTTTTTTTTTTTCTTTTTTTTTTTTTTTTTTTTTTTTTTTTTTTTTTTTTTTTGGTAAGAAGCTGAATTTCTACAAACTGTGCAGTAGGTACTGTCTTGCAACCTAGAACTAAGAGAGACTTTACACAAATTAGATGTCATAAAAATGCATCACTCTACATCAAAGGTCTAGGGGGGAGAAAAAGGAAGCAGAATAGACTATTTCAGAACCCCAATGTAAAGGAGTAGGAGTAGAGTAGAAGGGTTTGCTATCTGAATTGTTCTAGTCAGACTGTGGGCCAGATGAGTATTCTGATTCAGAAGATGCGCTCACCATTATTTGGGCCAATCTGAATACTCAATTCGCCTCACCCAGAGGTCATAAGGCTAATATGTCCAGCCTAATATATTCTACTTACATTGCTTTTGATGGGCCGTGAAATACATTGGTGTCTGGCTCAATGTTCTAGGTCAGGTTTCCCAAAAGCCCACAGGTGAATTTTGAATGGTCATCTTATCTATCTCCTGGAAGGCCAACTCTTCCCTGCAACCATCTCAGCTCCAAGGTCAGTATAGTGACCTCATCCTAGCCAGCACTAAAATACCAAGGAAAGCAAAGGTAGCTCCAAATGAGGAAAAAAGCTGGTTACTATGGGCCCAGTTCTATGCCCTGTTACTTAACATTGTCATCTTTGATCCTCATGACATCGATGTGAAGTAGGAATAAGTAATGATTAGAAAGAATAGCAGGGAGGGTGGGAAATGAGAAAAATTATAGTGAATCGCTGAAGAACGATGACAAAATGTTTCTGCACTGCATGCCTGAGGGAGATAAAGTAAGCTAAAACATGCTTTGGAAATGCACTTCTGTCAGAGAGGTGCAGGTGAAGTGAAGCAGGTTCACTGTGTACTGAGTCTGGTGAGACACAACACACTTATATACAAGTTACATAAAGCAAATGTATTCCTTGCAGATAGGCAGCAAGGGACAAGAGATGCCTAGGATTTATTGAGAGCCAGTCCCCCAAGACTCAGGAAAGCTGTCCAGGGTGGATGAAATTGCAACTGTGCTCCATTTACACTGTAGCTAAAGTACTCCAGAAAGCAGCCCGTCCTGGGTTTTATATCCTGGGGGCCCCATGACACACTGAGCTAAAGCATTCAAGGACATCCTGTTTCTAGCGGGGACTGGAATAGAGCTTCTCCCTCGCCCCCACTCATCTCCAGCACTATAAGCTAGAAAAGGGAGAGAATTGGGTGGGTCCTAGGCCACCTGGAGAACTGTCCGGTAGGCAAAGTATATCTGAGGTGATTGAGTCAGGTCACAAAGCCCTACTGCTCTCCCCTAAGGTCCTGGGCTCAGCTAAAAACTACACAACCTTGTTGGTTGTGAAGGTGTTGGAGAAACCCCCAGGGCATGCACAGAATCTCTCTTATACTAATATGGTAAAACATTTTACTCAAAATGTTTATTATGTTTCCAGAGCTTTGATAACACCAGGCGAAGAGTTAACAATTCTTTTTGTCTGTTTTTAACTACTCTCATTTTACAGATGGGGAAATTAGGAGTGGAAAGGTATAGATCAGTGGGCAAATGATTCAACGTTTAGTGAAGTAACTTAATTCTATTTCCATAGACTTGCAGCCCAAAGGGTAAGGAATAGAATATTTGCTAATTCTGGGAATCCCCATGACAATCCTATCTTTCAAATTTTTATTTTCTTAGTGCAGCTTGCTAACATGTTTGGAAATTCTTTCAGTTCAGAGTTTTCCAAATGGCCATAAGATAAATCAATTAGAGGTTTAAAAATGGCCATAAGGAAAAGAAATGATAAATGGATCATATTTTACCATGTATTACAAAAGGTTAGGCTCCTGGCACATGGCATTGGCTAATGTATCACTTATTTATTGCTGTGTAACCAGTCACCGCAAAATTCAGTGGCTTGAAAAAAACTACCATTTTATTTGCTCAGAAGTCTTTGGGTCACTAATCTGGGTTAGTCTTGGTTGAGTAATTCTTCTGTTAGTGGTTGTACCTATGTAGCTGCAGTCATCTGTTGGATTCACTTAGAGCTGACTGGCCTATGTGGCCTCAGCTGGGATAGCTTCCTCCTGCTTGACATGGTGTCATCCTCTAACAGGCTAGCTGAGCTTCTTCACAGGGCAGCAACACATTCCAAGAGGGCAAGGGTGGAAGCTGCAAGGCCTCTTGAGGCCAGGCTCAGAAGAAGAATATGACTTCTGCCCCATTCTTTTGGTCAAAGTAAGTCACAAGGCTAGCCTAGATTCAAGAGTTTGGAAAACAGACTTCATTTCTTGCTGGGATTAGCTGCAAAGCATTTGTGGCCATTTTTAATGCACCACAGCTATATTCTCACAAATAAATAAAAAGAATAAACAGAGCTCTTAAGAAATAGCCAAATATAATATTCTAGAAGATAATTTCCCAAGAGCCTCTTCCTCTCTTGCAAATGTATCCAAAATATTTTCATTATATTTAAAAGCCCTACTCAAGGTTTAGTGGCTTATCAAAAAACTAGAGCAAAAACTTGAGCACTCATTTTTGGCCTGGCCTTCAAAGCCAGTCATTTCTTACTGCATTAGATTTCCATTAGCTAATACCTCATGAAACCAATTATTAATCCAACAGTTCATTTTGTAGGCTATTCAGAATCTTTTCTTGCTGCCCATCTTTGAGGCATTTTCCTTTTTCTTGGGATCACCATTAGTGGTGCTACTGAAATATCTTGACTTAGACAATCAAAACAGACATTTGGGGGAGAAACAATAGTACAATTCAGCGAACATGAAATACAAGGGTCAGGCTGTCTTTTGTATAAAGAGTTTTTACTTAAAGAAAAAGCAGATCCCATAGATTAATGGCAAAGGAGATGAATAATCATAATCATAGCTACTGTTTATTGAGTACTTACTACTTGTATATGCTAGTCACTGGTCACATACATTATCTTAATCCTATGCCAATTTTGGGTGGCTTTTACAAATGGGTAAACTGAGGTTTAGAGAATTTAAGCAACTTGCCTATGGTCACACAACTAGACAGTTGCAGAGCTGGGATTCAAACCAAAGAAAATACTACTAGAAAACAATGTAGAAAAAGATTCAACATAATAAAGAAATCCAAGTTAAAACATTTTTTGAAGTATCATTTATTACCTACCAAATTATATAATTTTTAATTGTAATGCCCAGTGGTCGACAAGGATTCAGTGAAACTGGTCTTTCTGTTATGGATGGCTTTATAGATGGGTATGGTCCTTTTGTGAAGCAATGTGAAAATATGTACCCAAGAGCCACAAAAATAGCCATACCTCATCAAATCCACCTTTTGAAATCTATCCTAAGGGAAACAATCCAGAATTTTGAGAAGGCTATATGTCTGAACAGTCACCAAAAATATTATTTAAATACTAAAAACTTGGAAACAACTGAAATGACTAGAAAAATGGGAATGGTAAAGTAAATTATGTCTATTAAATACAACATTTGGTAACTATTAAAGATTTTAAGTATGGAGACTGTGAAGTGGGAATGCATTAGTATGGGAATGCATTAGTGAAAAAAAAGCAGATTGCAAAGTTAATTTAATTACTTTATTTACAATTCTGTTAATGGGGGTCTAGGTATAGGGAACTACTAAGAAATACTCCAGAATATTAAATGTAGTTATGTTTTTTTTTTTTTTTTGACTGGTAAGGAGATCGCAACCCTCAGCACAGTGTGGTCAGCACCACGCTCAACCAGTGAGCTCACTGGCCATCCCTATATAGGATCTGAACCTGCGGCCTTGGCGCTACCAGCGCCGCACTCTCCCGAGTAAGCCACGGGGCCGGCCCAAAAGTAGTTATGTTAAGGTGGTGAATTTGTAATTAGTTTTCCATTGCTTATTTTGTTAATTTTTTTGGTAATGCGCTTATATTATTTCTAAAATAAAAAATAACTTCATTTAAAATATAAACTAAAACATTTTCTCAGAAAATCAAAGGTAGTTGTGTTGGGACTGACATAATCTCTGCTCCGTGGGGCTGGGACCAGGACCCTGTGTCTAGGAGTTAAGAATGTAGCCAAGTCATTTCCATCCCCAGTTCCAAGCCCTCAATCCACAAAGCCACAAATCAACACCTCAGTCATTAAACATCTTGAGCTTCTGATCTTCAGGATATGTCAGGCTCCTTTTCAGCTCTCCCAGTATCAAACAAAACCTACCACTCTGAACTCCACCTGCCCTGGACTTTTTCATCACTCATTGTTCTTCCTTTCCTCTACAATTCTAAGGGCTTTTTATTTTCAGTGACATCAGATCCTCAGAGACCCACTATAGTATGGCAGGAATGCCTGAAGGCATTTTTGTGAGAATCAATTGCAAAATTGAACCTTGGTCCTCAACATGGTCTGGAAACAGGGCATGCTTAGACAATAACAATATCTCTTTTTCAAAACTTAAAAAGCGTACATTTCAAACTGAAGGCTTTTCTGCATATTTCTCTTAACTTTATGTTAAAAACAAGAGCCAAGACTCATAGCATATGTTTTTTAGAATGTTCAAACATTTAAAGTAAGAAATTAAATCCAGTTGGAAAAAATTCCTTTGGGGAGAGTAATCTAGTTGATTCTGCAGCAAGTCTCAGCTCAGCTGTAAATTCAAAAGCTAGACCCTGAGTAAGTGAAATAATCTAAGAAGTAGAGTTGAATTACCTCTGCAGGACATCTGGGCAAACTTCCAAGATGTTGAATTACCTCTGCTGGACATCTGGGCAAACTTGCAAGATGTTGGAACTGTCAGTAGAACTTGTCACAGCAGGATTTGTGTAGTCTCTGTGGTTTCTGCTCCTCTTCCTTCCCCTGCCTTCAAACATCTGTCTCATTTATTTATCTTTTTCCAGAACCAAGTTACTCTATCTTTCTTACACACAAACCATCAAGAGACATCCAGATCTCTTCTCATAGTAATCTGATCCTGCCTACAGGTTAACTTCAGGGGATATATATTTTGTAGTGTTGTAACATGTAATGTTATTAAGCATATGTTTCCAAATTGACGATACCTTAAAGTGGATTTTAAGTTTAAAGCCAAATCCCATCTCTATAGCATTTCATAAGTTGCTTGTATTGGTGTGACAGGTATTACTAAGGAAATTTGGATGAAGTTGTTCATCCAAACCAGAGGATTCTTAAATGAAAATAACAGCAAGATCACAAATTCTATTGGTGCAACCTGAGGCAGATATTTTACTGTTCTGACATTATTTGGAAAAGAGTTAAACCACTAACTTGAATTACAGGTCCATCATGTGACAAGCTGGATGAAAGAGAATTTGCAAGTGTCCTGATTCTGTTTGTTATCAATTGAATGTTTGTGTCCCTCCAAAATTCGTATGTTGAAACCCTAAGGCTCAATTGACAGTATTAGGAAGTAAGGTGCTTGGGAGGTAATTAGGTTTAGAAGAGGTCATGAGGGTGGAGTCCCCTTGATGGGATTACGTCCTTATAAGAGGAGGAACAGAGTAGAGCTCTCTCTCTATCGTGAAAATACAGCAAGAAGGCAGATATCTGCAAACAAGGAAGAGGTACCTCACAAGACACCAAATGTGTAGACATCTCAATTTTGATCTTGGACTTCCCAGCCTCCAGAACTGTTAGAAATAAACATTTGATGTTTGAGCCACCCAGTCCATGATATTTTATTACAGCAGCCCAAATTAAGACACTGTTCTTCCTGGGATGAAGTCTGTCTGAATAACCAGTACTTACTTTGGCTGTGTGTTCAGATTACTGATTTGGCGATGGAGATGCTATCAGCAAAATGCCATTACCTGCACATTTTGGATATCTCTGGTTGTGTCCTGCTTACTGACCAAACCCTTGAGGACCTTCAGATAGGTTGCAGACAACTCCGAATCCTTAAGATGAAATACTGCAGATGTATTTCCACGTAAGTATGTACCTGAATATGAAAAGCTCTGGGAACTACTTTCTGAGAAAATGTAATATGTGGCTATGGCATTCATCATACATAGTGGCTTTCAGTGTTAGTAAGTTTCATTTTATTTTTGCCTTATTAAAGCCAACATTTTGAGTTGAACCAAGGGAAGCTCCCTTCTAAAATGATCTTTCTGGTTTCATATCCCTTTCCCAATAGCTCTTCTACTTTAAGCACCTTCACTTCCTTAACCAAGCAGGTATCCAATGCCTGAACTCTGTCTCTTATGGTATTATCTCTAGTTCTTAATCTATTCATTTCTCAAAATACAGTCCATTCAGTTAATCCCACACTGGGTGTTAAGATAATAATCTGATTAAACCAGCCCACAATTAAGTTTTTTCCTATTGAGTAAGGGTAAAAATGTACAAGTATTTTAACTGACTTGATGAAGTAACCTGTGAAATGTTCAAAATGAGAATCCTTGACCACTCCCTGAAGGTCAGGGACTTTTCTGCAGGCTAGAAAAATCAATACTAAGAATTAATGTTATCAAAGTATAATGTGCATAATGTGGTCCAAGCATGTAGATTTCACAGAGGAATTTTCTTAATTAAGTAGCCATACATGAGCTGAATCATGAGCCTTGTTCACTTGAGGCCTAAGGAAGAAAACAGTTTCTGATCCAAGGCTGTGTGTGTTAAAATGAAAATTAATTATAGAACAGGCACTCCCACTGGACCCAGGCCTGCAGGGGAAGGGCAACCAACTGGAACTGGGTAATAGAAAAGGGGACAGGTCCTTGAAATTTTTGAAGAGAGGTGGAGACTCAATCCTTCCTGATAGGCCTGCAGATAACTCTGATAACTCTGATATTATTAACCTCATTTAAAGAAGACACCATGAAATAAGGTCCTAAGAGTCCCTGCCAAACTTGTCATATTATTAAACAATCAACTTTGAGCAAGATAACAGTGAATAAATAATGTGTTACTCAAAGTAGTTCAGCTTCTTATCTTCTGACTGTATTTTGCCAATCACTTATTTTTGGGAGGTAATATTATTGAACTTCTAATAAGTGGGATTTTAAATAGAATGAATGAAGACTTTCTGGCAAGGGCCTCTCTAAACCTAATCATAGTTTGGTGCTATGCTTTGAATGTGTCCCCCCAAGTTCATGTTTTGGAAACTTAGTCCCCACTGCAACAGTGTTGGGATCATTTTTTTTTTTTTTTTGGTGGCTGGCCAGTACAGCAGTGTTGGGACCTTTAAGAGGTGATTAAGCCATTAGGGTTCTCTGCCCTCATGAATGGATTAATGCCTTTACCACAGGAGTGGGTTTCTGATAAAAGAAGTTTTGCCCCCTCCCGGTGCCACCCTCCTCACCCTCTTGCCTTCCACAATGGGATGACACAGAAAGAAGGCTCTTGCCAGAAGCTGGCACCTTGGTATTGGACTCCCCAGCCTCCAGAACTGTGAGAAACAAATTTCTTTATATGTTACCCAGTCTGTGGTATTCTGTTATAGTAACATAAAACAGATAAGACATATGGGATGTTAAAGTGTGATTTGTATGGTATCTGGTCAAGAAGACCCAGGATATCCAATAATTTCCAAAGCCTGCTTTTAACTATTCAGCCTTCTTACAAGGTCCCTAGATTAAAAAAAAAAAAAACACGCAAAGAAAATAAAAGAAGGCAGAGTAAGACTTTACAAATAGCTGGGCATTGTCCTCAGACCCCAATGCAAAAGTCTAATTAACCACCTGGATCTATGGAAAATTCCTTTATCTCAGTCAGGACAGCCAAAAGGCCTATTTTGTATTCCACCAGAAAACCTGGCTGTCCCTATCAGCAAGAAGCAGGCAGAGACTTGGCTCTAATGCCTAGAGGGGGGCTGGTTTGGTCTACGCATCTTTTTGTCTAAACGGTCCAGACCACTACCTTTTAGTCTCCCTGAAAGCTCCACCTCTGCTCAGCTCCAGCAGAAAAGAGGACTAGAATCCTTTGAATTCTATCTTTGTCTAGCAATGGAGAAGAGTAGTGCTCACTGCAGAGTGGCTTGAAGAGTCCCCGTGTTTGGACTAGTAAAGCTCCAGGAACATCTCTCTTTATGTCCAGTATCTAGGAAAGTGTGCTGCTTGTCAGGCCTTCCAAGAAAACTGGCCTCAAAATTTTGATTAAAGTAGTGGTAAGGCCTGACTTCATGCAGCTGTTTGGGGTCAGTTCTAGGGGCTATAGAGCACCTTCCTTTTCCACTCAGATCCTTGGGAGGAACTGGAAATAGAGTATGTGGACCTGTTAAAACTCAAGCCCTTGATAATCTCTAATCTCTTACTTATGTTCACTCTCTTACCAGAGCCAATGTGGCTCCCTCAACTGCAGCTGCTTTGTCTTGTCTGGGAGAAATGGAATCTTTGACAGCTGGGAGAGAGGAGGAGAGAGGTTCAACCAATGGACTCTATATAGTTGATTCTATTTTGAATATGAAAACATTATATGATGCAGCCCTTAAAATCCAATTATGGCCTTCAAAAGAAACTTGTTTTATACACAAATTCCCCCATACTCAATGTAATGAGAATACTGCACCAGCTTTGCAATTCAAAGAGGTCTGCTCAGCCCACCCTTTCTGAACCAGGGTAACAGAGAATTTTTGGTCAATGAGCAAACTGGCTGTAGCTCTTTTAAAAGAAAGTTTCCAGCATAAGATATAGCTGTCATTCTACCAACCCTAAAGTCTGAAGGGCTCCTAGGAAGTAACCCCAGAAGCCCCATGTGGAGGCAAGATAAAGGCACCTTTAATTCAAGGAGGAATAAGTAACTATGATCATAAAATATGACAAGAAATTTGAAGCAGTTGTATGACAGCCAGCTGCTTGACTTATGGTCTTCTGTGGGGAAAGCAAGAAAGTCAATGGAGGGGAAGAAAAGAGTGGGAGAAAGGGAGAACGACCGTACAGCTCAAGAGGGTCTGAACCACAGAAAGACTGAAGAACCATTAATTCTATAACTAGCAAAAAGTCATGGGACCTTTCTGATATTTTTGTGTCTGGAGCCCAAAACTTTCAACTCTAGAGAGTGCAGTACAGAAAGTTTTGGTGGCCTTCATAGTCCCAAATAGCAACATAAAGATTCCTTGAAGGCTTTTTTTTTTTTTTTTTTTTTTTTTTTTTTAGCAGTTGCTGGCAACATAAACTCAGGCCCAGGCATTCTGAGAGATCTATGCTGCTAGAAAATAAAACTCTTATCAGAGTTCTTCTCCTTTCCAAGTCATGCAAAGGTTCAAGGCTTTGTGATCTAGAACTGCTGACTTTTATAAATAGAATGAACAAATAATACTATTTAACAATTATTATTTGCCATGTACTGTACTAAATCTCATTTTAATTATATAATCCTCACAAATACCATTACATGAAAATGGATAAGAAAACCCGTTAAAACAGGTTAAATAACATGCCCAAGGTCACACAAATAAGAGGCAGAGCCATACTTTGTACCTAGGTCCTAATCATTACTACCCGGCTCTTCTACCTTTAGAGTAGATTCTTAAGCTTTTCTAAAGCTCGAATATTTGAGGGATGTCACCAACAAAGGTAGACATGTGCTCTGTTGTGCCTAATTTACTCACCAGTGCACAATAAGAGGGGCTGCTGTTTATGAGCCATCTTCGGTGGTGGCTCCAACACTTCCCCTTTTTGCCTACTCAAGTAACTAAAAGGAAATGTTAGTGAGGGCAAGTAATGTTACTACAGGGTTAACCTTGAATCCCTTTCAAATTATAAAAAACAAAAATCACTTATAAACTTGAGTTTTATTTATTTATAGATTTTTTTTCGTGAAATTTTTATTTTGTCAATATACAATGTATATGATTATTATGGCCCATCACCGACACCTCCCTGCCTCCTCCGTCTCTCCCCTCCCCCCCAAGAATGTCCTTTCCGTTTGCTTGTTGTAACAACCTCAAAAAAGTATAGCTGTTATATCTTCTTCCCCCCCCACCCCGTTTTTTTGTGTGTGTATATGTGGGTGAATTAATTTGTTTATTTTTTAGCTCCCACCAATGA